ATTAAAAATATATACTTAGATTTACATCAATTATATATCTACTGAAAAATTCATTAATTAATATCATTATAATATTAATCTACGAATAATTATATATAATATGAATATAATACCTATGAATAAATAATATAATAATTTACCATAATAATTAAAAATAAAAATTGTAATTTTTCAGAATTTTTGTAATAAATCTAACAATTTTTATATTTTTCGATATCTATTTCTATATCAATTGATTTTAATGAAATTTTCAGAATATATATAACTGTAAATTTACGAAATATATATAAAGGTAAATTTACGAAATATATATTTTAAATTTTCATTACAAATAAAAGAATGATAAAAAATGATGTTTATTATTTTTTCATGATTCTAATTTGTAATTTTTTTCAAAAATTTTTTATATATTATATAGTAAATTAATCCTTTTAATTTCTCAAAATTTTTCAAAAAATTCAAATCATTCAATTTAATTTTAAAAACATTATTCGACTTTAATTGGTATTTTTTGTTCGTTATTGTACATTTGACAAAATTATATTGAATTATATATATTTATACATATTTCTCGAATTATTTCTAAAAAAAAAAAACTTCTGTTTATAGTGTTGAACTTTAACTTTAAATATATCTTTGAAATATATCTTCAACTCTTATAATTATGTGAATTCTAAGAATTTTTCAAAATTTTTAATAATTTAGATATGCTCTTCTATTATATTTTCAATATGTTATTTTTGGAGAATCAAGTTCATATAATATATAGTATATATACTATAGAAAGGATGGATATCAAATTCGTCTATTTTATAAAAAAAATATTTTATAAAAAAATGAATACTGGCTGAGTTCTATAAGTATTAAGAAAAAATTTATCATTTCTAAATTAATTCATTTTCAATTAATCCATTAATTTAATCTAATTTTTTTTATTAAATAAAAATTTTTAATTAGACATATGATTTAATATAATACTTTTGACATGACTTACATTATTATAATACCATATATCTATCAATTTCAGATGCATAATATCTGTGTCTGTGATGGCAATTAATTATTATTTTGTTTCTCTTGATTATTAGTTTTTTCTTCTTCTCTGATTTATCGAGATTTTTTTCTATTTTCTAAAGTTTCGTAACCGAAAAATCTCCTTTTTGCTCTGAAAAATCATTTTTTCGTTCATAATCATTTCTCGATTTTATAAATAAATAATTACTGATTCCAGTATCCATAGAAATCTATGAAAAATCTCTCTTCTTTTGAAACAATCAAGTAACTCCGTAGTCATTCGAATACAATATTGGAAAAATTTCGCTATATTTCCTAGAGTTTCGCAATAATACAGCTTATTATCACATTTATTCTCCAGTTTCGCCATTCGTCCCGCAAAATATTCAACTTAATTGTACGAAGTTTGGACCGTGAACGTTAATTTATCGCAGATTCCTATGGTTTGTTTGTGAAGATACGATGTGTAACATTTTAAAACGTTTTAAAATGTTATTTTAAAATAAATTTTCTAACCCATTCGCATAAAATTCATCTTTGCCTCATTAGATCATGAATTTGGTTATTCAGGACGACAAGTTATATACGAAACAGATTCTTTCGTCATGCTTTAATTTAAATATTACTAACGAAAAAGATATTCAATATCATAGCAAATATTTCATTAGTGATTTATGTAGATTTCTTCGTTTTTAAATTTGAATCAGTTTTTCATTTTGAAAACTCTATCTTTGCAAGTTCAAAGTTTCATTATCTTTTTTCGTTTATCTATCGTTTAAAGCCAATAAATATTTGTTTATCACTTTTTTTTTCCATATAGATCATATAAAATATGCCTTTTGCACAAACATATGTATTTAAATTCTTCGATGAATAAAAGTTATCCGATTTAAATTATGACTATGTTATGTTAAATTATTCTCTGATAGAATTGATATTTTTATCGACTTTTTACCACTTGTTCTGTCTGGAGTCAGATAATTCTTTAGCGCCAAGGATACAAAGCGAATCGAATCAACAAATATTTCTTTCGTCAGTAATTAATGATAATGTCGTATTGACTTTCGCGTTGCTGTGATATCGACTTATTTATGGCAGCCGATTGTTATATTAATTTTGCACGATGATGCATTTTTTTCTTTTAATAATACCGACCGATCAAATCTCTTTTAATCAAAGAATAATTCAATATTGACGGATTTCTAAATAATGGAATGATTTGTTATTGTAGATATCTTATCTTCGATGCTGTTTGATCATTTATTAGTGAAAAATTGCATATTTTCAAATGTTCCCTGAGAGACTTGTTGATGTTTATTTATCTTTGATAGTTTCTGTAACATTTCGCGAATATTATACGATTTTAAAGTAATTAATTTATATATAACCATTCAAAATGATTATTTGTAATTGCTTTTTTTGAAATCAAATGATTATTGATAATTGAATTAAACCTATCTATTTATTTAAGAATCAAATATTTATGATAATGCTTATTATTGAAACATAACGGTAATTGAAATAAATAATAATTGAAACATACAAAATCTTAATGTTGATAATAAACTAAGTTTAATAATATTTTTAATATTTAATATAAATAGCAATCATTCTGTGTCATAATATTTTCTAACTTTGAACATAATATCTGTTGAACAAATTTCATTTATAAGTAAAAATTGCTTTCGATTGCATCATATTCTATTTACAAAATTAAATGAAGTAAAAATTAAACATATTTGATGAAATATAATTCAAAAAGTATCAGAAATATAAAAATGTATTTTGACATAATTTACGCAGATAGATAGATAGAGCTGAAGCAAATTATAAATTAAAAAAGAACTTTTTATTCATAAAAAATGAAATTAAATTAGAAAATTTTTTATTTAATAAAAATTTAAAATTAATATTTTTTATATTTTTTTAAATAAAATTATTCTTTTTTCTCAATTGATGTACTTTTTGTATTTTTTTTAGAAAAAATATTAGGCGTTTCAAATCGAATATGAATTAATTTATAAATTAAAAATTTTGTCCAAAGATCTCTCATAAATATTCTTATCCATGTAACATATAAAAATGATATGAGATTTTATAATAATAAAAGAAAAAATGTTTATTATATAAATTTAAAAGTAGTGGAATATAAGAATAGATTGAGAAGTATAGAAGATTTTAAGTATTTCCAGATATGCAGAAAAATGAAATATATATGCAGCATTTGATATGCTATTTAATATAGAATGAGTATAAAAATTATTTATACAATCATTAATTTAAATAAAAATTTTGTTTATTATCAAAAAATTATTCCATACATATTCTAAGAAGTCTCTAAAACAAATTTCATTTAAAAAATTATTTATCTATCTATATTTTTTATATTAACAAAAAAAATAATAAAATATAGATTATAATAATATAATTATAAATAAGATTAGTAGAAAATATACGTGTAATAAATAATCGTATTTGAATTGTAAAATTATATATAAAATAACAACATAATCCATATTAATATCAATATATCTATATTGGTTATAATATATGTTTTAAATGTATAATATGTTTTAAATTTAAATATAAATTCAATAACTGTAAAATGGAACGAAAAAAACACCATTCAAAAAAAAAAGATAAATTATTATTATATATTAAATATTAAATATATATAATAAATATAAAATTCTGAATGAAATATCTAAAATTTTAAATACACGATTCAAATAATTATTAAAATAAAATAAAAATTCAAAAACAATAATCCAAGAAATAGACAAAAATAATAAATGAGTAGCCACTATGTATAATATATATATATATATATATATATATTACGAAATATAATAATAATTTGAAAAATCAAATAAAATTCAAAAATAATTTTTGCAATAAATCAAAGTTGAAGTTAAAAATAATGTAAATGTATATAATAATATAGTATAGTGCATAATAATTTTTTATGAGAAATGAAAATAGCTTTTAAGAAATATTTAATAAATGGAATGAAGTTAACAAAAAAAAACCGATTACAATTTGCACAAGAGTACAACAATGTTTTTATAAAATATCACGTTTGTATGAGAAAAATGATAGTGTAGCAGAGAAAAATAAAAATTATATGAGAAGAAAAATTTGCAACTGAATATAAAGCATAGAATTGCTACAATTTGAAGATATATGAATGTGAATGTATTAACTTTTTAAGTTAGTGCAAACAAAATAGAATTAAGCAATTATTTTTGCAAGATAATGATCCAAAGCATGATACGCAACAATAGATGCTATATAATTTGTAGAATCTATTTTCTAAGACTAGAAAATTTCATAATTTTTAGATATAAATTAGATGATGTAATGGAATTATGAAAAAATTCAAAATTGTCATATTTTAAAAAAAAAAAATTTAAAAATGTATTTTTAGAAAACAGTTTCAGTCTTATGATCAGAAATTTAATGAATATAAAAATATTGCAAAAATTTAAAATAATTATATAATTTATAGATAATTCTAATTTTAAAATTACAAATTAACTGAATTTTGTTATGTTTTTTGAAAATTTCTTATTTTTCTTTTAAAATTAAAAATGTATGAATACTTATGTATATAATACATGTAAATTTTTTAAAACTTAGAACATTTTCATAATACATAATAATAATAATATGTTACAAATATATAATAATGAAAATAAGATAATAGAAATAAGTAATAATAAATACAAGATAATAATAATATATAATTGTTTAATGATGTTTGTTTTAAAAATATGTATAATTTTTTATTAACATTTTTTTACAAATAAATAAAGTTCTAATAAATTTTTATTCAAATTTCGAATCCACGAATATTTTTTATATATCTATTCTAGATTTTGATTTCCTTCTATTTTAATTTTTATTTTATATCGCTAAGTAATATTATTTTAAAGTGTGGTAGAAATGTAAAAAATATCTATTTTTATTTTTATTTAATTTTTCTATATTTTTTTTTGTTTCTATTTCAAATTTTTTATAAAACATTTGACATTGCAATTTGTTTTTTTTTCTTTGGGTTTTTATCTTCTTGAAATGAAGGCAGGTCTGGTTTATTTTCTCCGGCATTATTATTTCATCTCTTCCTGTAAAATCATTTTCTGATCTATAAAAAATTAAAAACTAAATAAATAATTTTCAAAATTTTATTATTTATTATAAGATTATACATACTTGGTGTTAGATGTCACGATGTCAGTAGAAATAAAAATTACTTGAAATATATATTTTGTAACTTGTAAAAAAACCTAATTTACATTCTTTTCTTCATCTCTCTGGTAAATAAATTTTTGTTTTCTCTGTAAAAATTTAAATAAAATTTTATCAATTTTTTTTTAAATCCTTTTTTATTTTTGAATATCTTTCAACTGTTTGTTTTATAATAGATTTACTTTTAATAGATTATTCATATAAAATAAGAATATCAACAATATCTTTAATTATGCCAAAGCATAATAGAGTATGTCCAATTACTTGAAATTTCATATACAATATAGACCAATTCAATAAAAAAAAGCGATTATAAATAATTAAATAATTAAAAAAAAAATAATAAATGATTTTTCAATAACAATAATTTTCTAAATTATGTCGATGAAAATTGAAAAAATTACACAAAAATAATATAATCCATATAATTAAACGATAATTGAACAGCTATTTATATTACAATTATAAAAATTACTTTCCCATACAATTATTAGTAATGCCGATTATTCTTTTACATATATCGACATTGGAAATTATTAGCCAATTTAGAATAAGAATCGTTTCTTTATGAAAAAATGCAAAAAGAAACTGTCAATATTCCAGAAGCTACAGATAAAATGATTAAAAAATATTATTCCTATGGAAATAGAATATTAAAAAATATTTCTTTGAACAATGTGACCAACAATACTACAAGTTGCGATTTCTATAAATCTTATTTGTAATCGTAAATTGTAATCTGCAAAACCGATTTTTGATAAAAAAAAAATATTAATAATAATATTTGATGATTTTTTAAAAAATAAAATATTATATAAAATATTTTATATTTTGATTCTTAATTTTTACAAATATGAAATAAAGCAATATGAAAATGATAATTATCCTATTTTGTATGCAAAAATATATTATCTTCATAAATAATTAATTATTTTAATAAAAAAATAAATTAGAATTTATATTAAAATATAAAATAATTCACCAATTAAATTATGTTTTGTTTCTCATTTTAAAAATTCAATTCATATTTTAAAATGTGAATTTTGATTCTACCATTGATTATTTTTTAACATAATTTTATTATTTTTTACCATAATATTATATAATATGTAATATTAGTGTTACATGCAAATCTAAAAAATAATCAATGGAATATTTTATATAATATTATATATTATATAATATATATATAATAATAGTGTATATTAATATTAATAACAATATATTCTAGATAAAACACTAGATAGCATAAATACGCAATGTTATTAAATATATTTATTTCAGATCAACGTAACTACTGCATTAATATTGATCAACAAATCATTTGAAATTTAATAAATTCATAAAATAACTATTTATACATATTTCTCGAGCTATTTTTAAAAAAAATTGATGAATTACGTTTATGTTAAATAATTTAATATTTGTTTAAAATGTTGAACTCTAATTTCAAACTGTATTTTTGAAATTCTAAATATTTATAATTATAAACTGTGAATTCTAAAAATTTTGAGAAATTCTGTGTAAGAATTTTAATAATTTAGGTCTGTCTAAATGGAATATTTTATGAAAAAAACCTATCAAAGGAGTATCAAAAGAGTCTATAGGCATTTCTAAATTAATCATTTTCGATTAATCCATTTAATTTAATTTTTTAATCTAATTTTAATTAATTTTTTTTCCTATCAATAAAAATTTCTGATTCGACTATCTTCGACTATTATAATATACTTAATATTACTTACATGACATCAAAGTAGCCATTAATTGCTGCGATTGATGATTGCTCCTATGATGGCGATAATTATGCTTTCGTTTCCTTCATTTTTGCTTCTCCCTCTTTCTAATTCCAGTTAATCCATATTGAGATTTTTTTCGAAATTAATCTCAAAATCTAATTATAAAATATAATCTGATAAAATCATTCCCTAATTCAGTGATCAAATATTATCTCGTTTTTTTAGACGACTATATTCTAATTCTAGTATGCACTGAAGTCTTTCTTCCTTCACACGATCTTTCTAAATTACTGATATGCGTTTCTTCATCATATCTTCCAATGTTTTGCAATGATACAGTTTCTTTCACGTTCATCTTTTCTGGTATTGTTATCGCTATTGTGCTCGATTATTGTGGATATTGATTCTTGATTGAGGAAAATATATCTGTATCATCAAATCGTGTTTTCCAGTTCCAAGATGTTGTTTCAAAATAAATCCTTCAATTTCCATGCATTTCCTTTTTTTTTTTTTTATCAAAATCGACTTAATAGTTTAGGATCAATAGATTACACACGAAATAAATCGTTCATTATGATGGCATTTCGATATCATAGCGAATATTTCATTAATGATACATATAAATATCACTTTGTCCTTGATATTTTTGAATCAGTTTTTCACGTGGAATTCTATCTTGAAGTACTTTATCGTCTTTTTCACGATTGTAAAATCATAATAAATATTTCTCCTATCTTTGATTATTTTCTTCCTATATGAATATTTCCTAGTGCACATGAATTTGAATCTTTAGATTATATTCTTATTATAAGATATAATCTTGTTCAAAGACAAGAAAATATATTTGCAATATATATATATATATATTTGCAATCATCCTGCTATTAATATCGACATTGTCAGCTGAAATCTCTCCATGATAGGAATGATATTTTATACTGCTCAATCCGCTCTCTTGAAATAAAATGATTCTTTGAGCATCATGAGCATCATACGAAGCTAAACGGAAACTTAGAAATTCCTTACTAGATCATCATCTTCTTTCAGTCTTCTTTTTATTGGCGGTTCAACAATATCCATGCCATCGTATTGGCATAGCATCTATTCGTCTAAACAGCCGATTATTAGTATTTTTGATGATTCTTCTTTTCTCTTTTGATAACACCGAGTAATCGAGTTTTTTCTAGTGCTAACCAAAGGCAAGATACCTGAAATTATTGAAATTCCAAGAAGTAATAAGTTGATAATATGATGGTATTACAGTAATAGTAATAGATAAGGCTAAAGATTTACCTTGCTATTTGATCTTTTGACTTTTTCCATAGAATAGCACTTCCAAATGTTCTCTGGCTCGTTACTGATGTTTCAAATATTCAGTCTTTGATTTCGTCTGTATTATTTTGTTATATAGTTCTAAAATAATCAATCTCGTAATCATAAGAAATAAAAATTGTTATTTATAATTGCTTTCTTTTCGAAATTAAATGAGCGAGAGAATTAAATCTAAACTCAAAATATATGATATAAAGCAATAATGATTGAAAAATAAAAAATCTTTATTTTTAATTTTATCTGATTCTTTCGAATCTCACCGAAGCCTCTTTAAATTAGGCTAAATAACTATAGACTGTAATAGCCATTATCGAATTTTATTTCACTTTCATAAGCAATTGACTTCTGATCCTTATTCACCAATTCTTTTTTCTTTCACACAATCTTTTCAATGATTGGTATTCATTATTTTTTGGTCTGGATCACGACTATATAAATATAGTGATATCTCTCAATGATTTACAATGATACAGGTACTTTCCACATTTACATTTTTCGATATTCGATCATTCTATTATGCCAAGTTTGATTGTCGACGATATTGCGATTCTTGAGATTCAGTTGGCGGAAATATGAATAAGATTTGATCGCTGAATTGTGTTTTCCAGTTCTAAGATATTTTCAAAATAAATTCAACCATTTTTTTTTTTCTATTTTTCCACCAAAATCAACTTGATTTAAGGATCAATAGATTACACACGAAACAGATCGTGTCATGTTGCAATTTATCATCGATATGTTCAATATTTCGATGAAACAAATATTTCATCATGTATTTATGTACTTCTTTGTCCTTGATATTTGAACCAGTTTCCCACTTTGAAAACTCTATCTTCAAAGGCTCCATTTTATTATTTTTTTTTTATAATATTTATTATCATATAAAACTACGATAAATATTTATTTTGTTATTGATTCTCTACTTCCTATAGGAGCATTAAGTATACCTCAAGATGTATAAACACAATTTGAATCTTTTAGTCGATTAATCTTGACAAAAAAAACTTTTTCTACTGTTCTAGATGATAGTCCTGCCATCGATTTTTAGCTGAGATCTCTTTTGTGATTAATATCTCTTTAAGATTATTTTATCCAGCCTCATGACTTCTCGAACGATGGCATTATTATATAGATATTTCTTCATCTTTGATATTTTTGAATAAGTTTTTCATGTTAAAAGCTTCAAAAATTTTATTTTATCATTCGTGATCGTTTAAAATTACGAGCAATAAATATTTCTTTCATTATCTTCTTCATAAATATACTTCTTAGTGCAATATTGATCAAAAAGAAAAGCCTCCCCAAACTTCATTGTCTGGTTTCAGATGATTCTTTGAATCATGGACTCGTGAACACGAAATTGAACTGTAACTTAGCGATTCTTTGTAAATTATTCTCCTTTATCAATATTTGATAGCAATATTGACTATCGACTCATCTATGACAGCTGATTATCACATTAATCTTTACAATAATAATTTTTTTTCTTCTAAAATATCGACTAATCGAATTTTTTTTTAACGTTAACCAAAGGTGAACAAACCGGAACTGTTGAGATTCTAAAAGTAATTAATTAATGACATGATGACATCATTGATGACATTACAATGATCCAAATATTAATATAGACAGGGTGAATCAAGCTTTAACTTGCTTCTCGAACGTTCGGCTAGTTTTAATAAAATTAAAATAATATTTTTAATAAAATTGCATTCAAATATCCTTTAATACTGGCATCATTATCGGTGCTTGAAATACTCGGTCTTTGATCGCTTCTGTAACATACGTTTTAAAATTCATAATCATAATCAATTTCACAATTATCTGAAATAAAAACTTTTACTTATAATTTGCTTTGTTTTTGAAACTAAATGGTGAATGATATAATTAATGATTTTTCTATGCCCTATAGAAACTCAAAGATTTATGAAATAATGTTATTATTGTAAAAATTGACGAATAAAAACTAATTATTATTTTATTAATTAATAGTGAAAACACTAATTATTTCTTAAAAATAGCAATTATTTTTACTCTTTGAAAACTAGTCAAAAACTTTTCTAATTTTAAATATAACATCTGTTGAAAAAAATTTAATTTATAAAATGAAATGTTATCGTTTTTAATTGCATCACATTATATTTATAAAATTAAAAAATAAAATAAAACTTTATTCAAATAAATATAACTTAAAATATATCAGAGATATATAAATTTTAGAGATCGTATCAAAAATAAAATAATTTCATATTATTCAAATATATACATAGATAGAGAATTATAAATAAAATTAGAAATTTTTATTCATAAAAAAAAAGTAAAATCACTTTAATGTTTTTTTTTTATAAAACTTTCCATCAATCAATACATGTTTGTCATCTTCTTTAAAAAAGATATAAAAGATCTCAAATCGAAAATGAATTATAAGTTAAAGATGTTCTTCAAAATGCCAAAGATCTTTCAGGTATCTATTCAGGAATAGATCTATCCGATATAATATTATTTTATGAGATTTAAAATATATATAACAAAAAGAATATATTATGAATTTACAACTTGAAAAGTCAGAAGTCTTTAAAAAATTCGTGTTGATAAATGCCAAGCAATGCAATCATATTTCTTCAAATATCGAAAAATGCTAAATGGTGCGATATTTGTTTTTTTATTTATTTTTTTTTTATTATTAATCGTTGTTATATTTGCTGAAAGTGGTGAAAGTGTCACATCTAAGAATTGTAATTTATTTTATATAGAATATATAAAAATTCTATTTTACAATATTACGTGTTATATTATATTAACCAAAAAGATTACTTTATTATTATTTTATTTAAGTTTCAGTTATTCAATTTTATTCAATATTCATGTATCATACTAGTTTTAAAATACAATGATTGAAAAAAAAAAGATATTTCAAAGATTTGGACAAAAAATTCAACATTTTGTAAATGGGAATGATAATAAAGAAGACAGTTCCTGTTTCCAAACGAAAAAAACATTTGGGCATTTCTGATAAAGAAAATGATAATTCAAATTCTCACTCAAAAACTCTACAACAATTTGGTTACTAAATGCTTGGACATTCACAAAAATTATTGAGAAAATTCATATATATTATCGTGATATATTGATTACATCGAAAATTTTGGTCTATTATGCAATTTTTCTTCCATAATTCAAACAATTAAATTTTTTAAATTATTTTTCGAATCTTCTCTAATATCATTAATGATTGTAGAAACTAACAAATATGTCGAACAATTAATGCAATATATAATACGGCAATTCTCAAGGATAAAGGATATTGGAAATCAGTAATTGTAAAGAAGATCAAAACGTTGTTGCTAGAAATGGAAATACGAGAAAACTAAATGCATATTCACATTGGACTGAAAACTAGCAGAATATATTTTGATTTCGAAAGATGTTTTCAAAAAATAAGTTTCCATTTAATCGATAATTTATGTTTTCTATCAAACAACAAAGAAAACAATTTATACGCCAAATTATTATGTACTCCATAAAGAATTATGAGTCGGACATATTCAAGGATGACACAATATTTATCAAGTAAAAAACATCATCGATGTGGCATTAAGTTTTCGATGCTCTGTGATTCATCTTCAAAATATTATTTAAATTATTAAGACACAAAAATTGAAAACTAATAACGATGAAACAAAAGAGCACGATCTCTGTTATACATATAACAGAATAAATTTATTGAAAAAAAATCATTGTTCAAGTTTAAGGAATCATGCAACAATTTAACTATTTAATTTAAATATTTGTATTTCTATTTTTGTAGAAATATATATTTAATTGGCATCATAAGAAGAAAGAAGAAAAAAAAATTGAAAGAGAGGTGAAAAAAGTTAACATAAATGAAGTCAAATATTTTCAAGATGTGAAACTTTTATTTTACGTATATAAAAAAAAATGTATTAATTTTGATATATGCATTATGACTATGCATTAAATCAAAATGTAACAATAATAATCAAATCGCATGGTACAGAAAAACAATTAATAAAACCATACATAGTTAATTCTTACAAAAATCTTTATGGACATCATTAATAAATGCAGCAAATTATTGTATATCTATTTGTGAAGAATGACGATACAGAAAAAATTGCATTTAATATAATCGGCCGAATGATGTTAAATGTATATATTATATATATAAAAATTGTTGATAAGAAAGCAATGTTTCCTCTAGAATTTATTTCAAAAATTATTTAAAGAATGAAATCATTATCTGGATGGATGGAAAAGAAGAAAAAAAATACTTGGCTTAACAAAATTATTAGGACTTAACGACAGTGTGAAATCTGCATTAATAAATATTAATAATAAAAATGTCTCATCTAAATGTATACAATATAAAGAGAGAGTTTATCCATTATATTTTTATGAACACATATGTTATAAAATTTGATTATTCACTAACAAAAATCTTTGATTTTAAATAATAATTCTATAAAATTTTCTGTTTATTTTACATCTGTTATTGTACAATCTGTTTATTTTACATGTTTATTGAATAAGAGTAATTGAACATGAATATAGATAAAAAAAGATTTATAATTTGCATAAAAAAAATTACGGTTCAAAAATTAAATAATTAAGATTGAGCACTGAATTTCAAAAATAGCACTTTTCGAATTTGAATAATTTGATCACGCTGCTTGGCACTCAAACGATTACTATTAATGAATAAATTAAGTTATGTTAATATATTTATTAATATTAGTATATATTAACATTAATAATAATATATAAATAAAATATTACTGAAACTAAGTCCATGCAAAAACAATGTTCTATCAGATCAATGTATGAACACCAATACTGATTAATAACTCATCATTTAAAAAAATCAAGAATTTTCAATCAACAATAATTTGAATCGGCTTTTCCATTGTGTTTTTAATATATTATTTTTTAGATCAATACTAGGAATAGGTAAAATCCCAAAATAGCATATTTTATGAAAAAATCTATTGAATAGATGTACTGAAAAGTCTTTGGGCATTTGAAACGAATTTATAATTTCTAAATTAATCCATTTCTATTAATCTATTTAATTGATTCTTGAATTTAATTTTTTTTCTATTAAATAAAAATTTCTAATTCGACATATAGATCATGAGTAATTATGATATTTTTGATATGATTTACATGGTTTTAAAATTCAAGCATTCTCACTGTTGCTGCGATATTTTGTTGTGACAGTTATCCTTTCGTATTTCTTTTTTTGAAAGATAAAAATTTTTTATTTTTCTAATTTCGTTTTTCTTAATTTTTGCTTCTCCCACTATCTGATTCATATTCTGTAAAATCAATTTCGCTAAAATCTTAATAATTAGGTTAAATAACCATAGAGAGATTACATCATAATAAATATATTAATAATATATTTAATACATAATAATTATTATTTAGTTTAATGATTATGAAATGTTGATTATAAAATAATTGACTTTTGATACCTTCTTCTTTTACGTAATCTCTCCAATAATTAGTATTCGTGATCATTTGTCTAATCATGGAAAAAATTTTTCAATATATCCCAAAGTTTTGCAATGATACATCAACATTTTTATACTTTCTTAGTTTCTACATTTTTCTAGTTTTTTTTTTTCAATGCCACTATAATTCTATTATGTCAAAATCTATCATCATTGATTCTTCCGATTCAATTAAGAAAATATGGATAAGATCTATATCATCGAATGGATTTTCAAGATTTCAAGTTCCAGATTTTGCTTTTTTTTTGAAATTAAATAAGTGACAGAATTGAATCTCAAAATATATATATTTCAACGTGAAAACAATAATAATTAAAAGATAAAAAAAATCTTTATTTTTTAATTTGTTTTCCTTGATTATTGTTTCTCCCAATATTTGATTCACATCCTCTCTAAAGCCTCGATTAAGTTAAATAACCATGATGGTTATTGTGCCATAATTTGATAAAATCATTCTTCATTTCAATAATTATCAAATCTTACCTCGATTTCATAAACAACTGATTTTTGACTATTTGATTTATTACTTCCTTTTCATACAATCTTTGTAAGTAATTAATATTCTCCATATTCAATAACTGAATTGATCGTTTGTCTGGATCACGGGAAAAATGATATCTCTCAATGTTTTGCAACGATACAACTTATTTCCACGTTCGCTTTTTTTGGACACATTGTGTCAAGCTCGATCGTCAACGACACTATGATTCAATTAACACGATCTGTGTCGCGTCTTTCGGTTTCAAGGCGTTTTCAAAGTATATTCTTCCAGTCGTTTCCTCTTTTCTATATCCAAAACTAATTTGATTCAATATCAATAGATTATACACGAAACAGATCGCTATTATGTTTGAAATTTGAAAATTGCTATCGAAAAATGTTATATATTTCAATAGAATATTTCATCAGTAGTTTATGTACGAATTCTTCATTCGTACTAAACTTGACCTGCAACCATTCTGCCATTAATATTAATATTGTCAGCTGAGATTTTTTCGTGATAAATATAATGTTCCTTTCAAACTATTTTGTCCAGTCTCAAAAGGTTTCCTGAATCATGAAGCTAAACTGAAACTTAGCTCTTCATTCTCTTTCGTCAGTATTCGATGGCAGTGTTGGCTGATCTCTATATGTTAGTCGTATCCAATTGTTCATGGCAGCCGATTACTGATTGATTGTCATTAATTTTGATGCTTCATTTTCTTTTTAATAAGATTGAATTACTTCTAATGAAGCCTTCTAAAAATAATAAATTGATGACATGATAGTATAACTCATAATCACAATGATTGAGTTAGTGATAGGTAAAAAATGATTCGTTAATTGCTGACTCGATCGTTCGATTTTATTCATGAATTGCATTCTTTCAAATTTAGCAATTTTTTCGATTATAATTCCATTCTTTTTTGATAATACTGAATGTCCTCCTATTTCTTTCGTATTTTTGTCATCGTTTCAAAATAATCACTTTTATTATTATCTATTACTATAATTATATGGTGACGATAATTATGCTTCCATTTTTTGATTTTTAATTTTCTCTCTTCCAAAATTGAAATTCCTTGAAATTCTTTCGAATCAAATTTTTTTTAAAATTTTGATAAGTAAGCAAAATTACTAGAGACGGTAGTTGCGTGATTTTACTATTTATGAAAACGTTTCTTCTTTTATATGTCTTCCAAGTAATTTGCAACCGAAATTCATCTAAATCTAATAGAAAATATTTTGAGATATCTTTTAAAAGTTTTGCAACGATACAGCTTTTTCCACGCTCACTCTTTGTGATGTCGTTATTCGCGTAAAATATCCAAGTCAATTGTGCCAAGTTCGACCGCCGACGACATGATTTGTTGCAGATTTTTGCTTTAGAGATAGTAGAGAATTGTATTGTTGAGTCACATTTTTCGGTTTCAAATTGTTTCAAAGTTTAATTCCTCAATTTGTTCCCGCATTAGATCGTCTTATCCATTTAACATCAATTTTAGATTATACACAAAGATACCTCAATTTGCTATCGAAGTATTCCATATTTCAATAGATAATTTTACTAATTCCATCAGTGATCTGTATAGATTCTTTCTCCTTGAATCAATTTTCTATTTTGAGAATTCTGTTTTCGAAAGTTTTCTCACGTTATTTCTATCGTAAAGTCATGAGCAATATATAAGCAAAATATTTTCATTGATATCAAACTATTGATATCTGTTTTCTTTCCATAAGAATATGATGCACATGGATTTGAATGCCTTGACGAACAAGAAAAGCTATCTGTTACCTTCAACAATGACTACCGTGTCAACTGAAACTTCTCCATGATAGAATTGATGTCTTTTTTTAGACTGCTCTATCTAGTCTCAGTTGACTCGAGTCAGATCGCAGAATCGAAAATCGAATCTTTCTACGTTTTACATTTATCTTCATCAGTACCGATTGATCTCCATCGTGTATTGATTCTATAATAATCGATTGTTTAATCTTAATAATTTGTTTGATGATTTCTTTTCTGATAACACTGAATAATCGACTATTTTCTATTGTTACTAAAGAATAAATCAGTTTATTGATATACGCGATTACCGGAAACGAATTTTTCTATGCTCTACATTTTTTTTCATCAGTATTGGTTGATCTCCATCATTAATTCTACGTAATGTTGACAATCTGTTTCATACTGTCTAAGTTGAATTTTTTCTATTATTATTAAAAGATCATTAATATTATCGAGATTATCGAAAACTAATCTTTTTATATTTTACATTGATCTTCATCAGTATCGATTGATCTCCATTATTAATTCTATGATTGCCATAGTCTTCACAATCTATTCGATCATACTTTTCGTTCTGATAACACTGAATAATCGACTAAAGAGTAAATCGGTTTTGACATCTATGAGGTTACCGGAAACGAAACTTTTATGCTTTATATTATTATTCTTCAGTATCGACTGATCTCATTGCCATGTTAATGTTAACAATTTGTTCGATCATATTTTTCGTTTTAATGCCAATATTTTAATGTTTTAATGTGTGGATTTATTTCTATTACTTAAAAGATAAATCGATTTATTGATATTCGATGTATGGGGCTATCGAAAAAATGAATCTTTATTTCTATCGATTTCCATATTAATTTATTCGATAATATTTTCCTTTCTCATAACACTGAATCGAGTGTTTTCTTAATAAATGATGAATCGATTTTTTTAATATTCGAAGTCAAAGATTCAAAAAATGGAGAGCTACAAATTTATATGCCATATAATATTGCAACATTATATGCAATATTATATTGCATATATTGCAGATAATTTAAAAGTTAGATTCTTGATATTTTGTCCTTGATGTTACTCGATCGCTTATCCATGAAATCTCGCCAAACTTCCAAATTTTCTCTGAGAGCTGATCGTTGTTGTGCCCGATGCTTGAAACACTTGGTCTTTGATCGTTTCTGTAATATTTCAAAAAAATTACATGGTTTTAAAGTAATCAATTTCATAATAAATCGAATAAAAATATATAGAATTGTGCTTTTAAATATTCTCTGACAGCATTGCTGGCCACGCTATCTATCTCTATTATTTTATCATTCGCATTTGCTTTTCCGCATAATTCGCAAAATGGCCGAACGAGAATATGTTTCTATTTCAGAAATAAATATTTTTCAGAAGTTTTACCCAACTTCTTGGTATCAAAATTTTATAAAATTGTATTTATAATATATCGCAGAAAATATAAAACAGAAATAGACTTTATATTTCTGTTTTCTGATAAGGCATATCTTGTAAACTACTGAATGACAATCACATCGATTTGAAACAATGTATGATAATATTATTTTTCTATTTTTTGATTCATATATATTTATTTTATTAATTTTTTATTCCCAATTTATTCGTGGAAAAATATTACTACAATTTGATATCATTTTTAATTTAACGAATTTATCAAAGAAAGAATAATATTAATGAACATCTTCATTTTTCAATAGGCAATTACCAAAAAATATCTAAATCATATCAATCATTTCAAATAGTTTGAAAAAAATTGCAACGTGAAATAGAAATTTATGCATGAAATAGATGCAATTATATTATAGCCATGAATAATATATTATAGCCATGAAATTTATCAACAATGTTTTGCCATCAGTCACGAAAACGCATAAAGCGGTAAAAAATTATACAATGCTTTTGTTTTCTAAGAATAAATATTTCCGTTTACTTGCTTCAAAAGCAATTTAAATTCAGAATTAGACGGATGTGATCAATTTCACGTTAAAATTTAATCAAAAATTGAATTATTTTAATATATCCATAACTGTGAAACGATTAGTTTTGAGCAGAATGAAGATTTAATTAAATCGCGAATATATGATTTTGTTATAAGAATTACTATAAAATATATTAAAATTGTATATTAAAAGAAAATACATAAATGAAAATATTAAATGTATCGAAGATCATGTAAAGTATTATTGATTTATATTTATATTCGTACATAAAATAATTTTAAATAATAAAAAAAGACAAGTATTTTTTTCTTCTAATTATATTGTTATTTTTTTTATAATTTTCTTATTATTTTATTGATCCTGTGTTAAAATACATAGTATTTTATATATAGTATAAATAGTATCACGTGTTTCGAAATTTCTTCAATATTTATGTAATTTCCAGTTCTAACCAAAATAATATATTTCCAAGAATAGCCATTTCTTGATTTTCCTGTTAAAAGATATTTATTATTAAGATAAATTAAATCTTTCGTTTAAAAATATTTTAAATTTCTGGCATAAAATATTTTCTGATATTTTTCTTGCTATTATAATCTTATAATATTCAATTATACGTTGCTTTTGTGATTTTTTTTTTTTATGTCATCTCATCTGATTAAATGATTATCAAACCTAAAAGCTTCATCATCTGTAAACTCTATCCGACCCAGGAAATTATTTTTCAAACAAATTATTTTCTCCTTTGCCATACGATTCATAAACATCGATATATATAATAATAAATTTATTTGTAGTTAGCATCAACTAGTTAATAATATTATAAAAAAATTTTTATAATTAAAATATAATGAGCTATATTATATAATATTCTTTTTATTGCTCCAATATAATTTAAAAAATTCCATTTTATCATTAAGTCATTTTTAAAATCTATGTCAAAATAAAAATATCGAAACTTATTTATCGCATAATTGTTCAAGTATGTTTTTTACAATAACATTTAACATACGAATATAGTATAATTTATTTACTTGTTGATTATAAAGAAATGAAGATACATTTATGGAAATAAAAAAAAGTTACAAATATATAGGGACAAATTATAATTAAATTAAAATTAAAATTAAAACTGTCGCTATTCATACAATTTTTATTATTAAATTTTTTAAGTAATGTACCAAAAAAAAAATTATTTTTTATAAGCAATATTTTCATAAAATACAACAAATTAGAAAAATTTATTTTATGGTATCTATAATATAAAAAGAAATAATATTGATAAGCAAAACGTATCAACAGATATGCTTAATTGATCAATAAACAAATCATTATATATATTAATAGATAAATTATCATCTAAAATCATCATCAAAAAATATTAAAATTTGTAAAAATTAATATTGCTATCAAATAAAAGAAAATTAAATTCATCAAGTAGAAAAAAACACAAAAAAATACAAATAAAGTGGAAATATTGGAATTAGAAATAAAAAGAATTATTAAAAGAGGAAACAATTAATAAAACAATGATAAAAAGATAATAATCCTATATAATAATATTTTCTGAGAAACATAGTCATAACAATGAAAACATTTCCATTAAATTTAATTCTAAAAGTAGAATATAAAATATTAATGATAATAAATCATAATCCATAGAAATCTCTGATCATTAATCAAGTGTTAGATTGATGAATCGATTATACATAGTCATATTTTATACAATTTGTTTGTATAGAATCGGTGATCTTCCAGTTCCTTAAATTTATAGCCAAATGTGACTATTCGTGCATTGTTGGAGGAAAAGGACAATCCAAAAATGTAAATCTTTTTTATATTTCTTTTAATCTAATTAGAGAAATTATATTCATATCATTTTTTATTATTTCTTTTTTAACTTTTCATTTTTACTTTAATTTATTTTATAGTTCTTCATAATTAGTAATTCACAGTTTACAGATTCTTCCATCATTCTCTATTGTTTGGATGGATACCTCTGGATTTTTCTTGGAGATGCAATAAGTTTTTCCGTTAAGAATTTAATCATACCAGATATATGTCTATCTGTAATAACATATGAGATAGTGTTCATAAGCTATCACTATCACGGTAAGCTATTATCATTTTGATTAATACATTCTTTGTATCAAATCAATTTAATCTTATTATTATCTTTTTTAACAACAGTGATCCATATTACTGCATACTAATGGACCTCTTCTATTTGGACCTTTCATGGTAATACAAATTTCTGATTTCTGGCTTTTTTTTATTGGGAAATAGGCAGATATATATCCATTATCTTGCCCATTTGGATCTGATAGTTTTTAAATGTCTTCTAAGACCTTTTTGAAAGATAGATAAATTTATTTTATTATCATTCATTTTTTTTGATCATTCTTTTACTTTAAGGACGGCTTTTGTTACATTGGTAACTATTTTAAGATTGTTATTTCTCCAGTGATACACACAGTACAATTGATATTAATTAAGTCATTTATTTATTCTATGTTCTTTGCTTCTATTTATCAGAAAGTCAAATCATTGTTTAATTGCTCGTTCATATGTCATCCACAAACTATCGTTTGTAACATTTCACAGGAATAACATCTAATACACAATCTTTTAAAATCTCTACGTATATTCATTAATGATACTACGTCATTTCTACATTGAATAGTATCTGGATTTTTATTCATCTTTAATTTCATCAACATAAAAATAGGGCTCTTAATTTTTTCAAAATGTGCCTGCAAAATTGCAGGATTTTTATTACATATTTTTAATTGGTATATATACCAGGTTCTTCGTTCTAGATTTATCCATAACAATTCCATAATTGTTCTCATGTACTTTACACATATGCACAATTAATATAAATAAAACGCTAATGGAAAGAAACGTCTTTATATTCCAGAGAGAAATCCTTTTGGAAAAACTTTTCGTAGGTTCTCTTTTTAATACTACATTTATATTAAGTTTACATTTTCTTATTTTTAATCTAATTATTCTTGACAAAAGTCTTTTCAATCTATCCATAACAATTTGATATATTTATTTCAAGAATCTATATTTTTACTGTTGGATGCAAGAAAAGTCTCAGATTTTTTTTAAATAAAATTAGATTTAGACTCAATTAGATTTTATTTTTATTTTATAGATGATATGTAAATTTCATTGTTGTATCTTTAAAACCAAAATTATAACATATTTTCTAAATCAATATTGGTGAACAAACTTTTCTAAAGATAATAAAAACTAATTATCATTAAAACCTTTCTTGCATTCAACAGTACAAATATGAATCATAAAATAATCTCCCTGAAAGTTATTTTAAAATTCTCTCTAAAATTGCTCAAGTTTTTGGCTATCTCGATTTTAATCAAGTCTATTAAGAATATACATGTTAGATAAGAATATATATTATAGAATATATCTTGTAAAAAAAAAATCTTCTTCAATAATTCAATAATTCAATTATTAAGAATTTTTTACTCAATAATATGCGTTCTAAAATGATTTTCTTATTAAAGAGAGAAGTTTTCCTTTTCATTGGAGATAAGAGAAATTCATATTCTCTCGATTCGTCTATAAGTCTTCTCAGCTGAATCCCTAACTCTAGGCAAATTCTGTACTTTTTCTTTTATTTTAGATTTCCTTATCAAAATGCTTTCATTTATTTATTTTCTTTTCTGAAATAACACAAGATAATTCATCATTTTTTCAAGTATAGTTCTCGTCTTCTTCATTTCTGTAGTAATTTTGAAATTTTTTCTTTTCATTTTAATACCATACAATAATTTTTTATTATTAGTAGCATGATCAATTCGCTATAGTTAATATTAAATTTTGTTATAAACTTCAGCATCATAAGAAGATGGATTATTGAATTGGAGATCAAATATCTTCTTGATGGCAATCTCTATCAATAGAGATATTGATTCATCATTGATTTCCTTTATAGATATTGTATTTTATACAGAAAATAAATAAATCTTCTTATGTAAAAAGATTGCATCTATATGTTTAATTACCTTCTTTCGTCATTTTAGAAATAATTTTGTAAAATTCCCTATTTCTTTCCGTTTAAATTTTCACTTTCATTACAATTCTGATGTGACTTTTCCTGAGATTTATATCTCCTCTTCTTATTTATCTTAAGTTTTTTGTCATATCATGATATTTTGTCTTGTATATTTTCGCTCTTTTGCAACTCTTTGGTCCATCATAGAATCAGAAGATATCATGATACTATTTTTTGATATAAGACATGAGATTGTAATATGTTATGATAAAGTTTCTCCTTAAATTTTTTTCAATTGCCAAGCCAATCATTTGCAATAAAACTTTTTCTTGGACAATTCTTCGTTGGAATTTATTCTAATTGGCTCACGAAAAATTAAAATGTGATACCAATGTTAACAATTACATTTTCTCTTTGTTTGAATAGTAGAGATTTCAAATTTATCAAAATTCGAAGAAACACATGTGTCTTTGGTTAATTGAGTAACTATACTGCGCGATCATAATCTTGAAAAAATTTTATCCTCAGTATATTTGCTGTGTTGCAGGAATGATTTTGCATTTGCATCGATATTCACAATAACCTTATGTCGGAGACACATCAGTACCTTGTCATTTATTCAGTTGGAATTCAATAATTTTTTAAGCTGAGAAAATATACGCTTTTAGATATTTGTCGTCATCGATTTGGATATATATATAGTATAAGATATATCCACAAAGATTAACAGATAATTGTTTTTCATATCGATTGAAGTACACGATATTTCATCCAAAAAATGACATTATTTATGATTCTTACATTAATATAATATCGCTGACAAATCCATTTGCAACTTGATCCTATTTGCGTGTTTCATAAATTTTTAGTGTTGAAAAAAAGTTTGCGAAAAAATTTTTTGAAAATTTTTAAATGAATCTAAAGATATACATGACATTTCGCATTTATTGTATAATAAAATATATCTTCGGTTTTCATTTTTCAAATTCAGTTACAATTATTCGATGATTCAATATGATTGATATTTGATCAAAAATTTAGCAAAAATTATTTATGTAAGATTTGATTAATTCACGATATATATTTAATTTTGTTATTTTATTATTTTAAATTGTATTCTGTTATGTGTTCTCTGATTTATTGCATAAATCTATAAAAAAATTTTAATAAATATTCTATTAAAACAAAGAACTGTATTTAATACAAACTCCTAACAATTTAAAATATTAAGAATATTGACATAAAAACAATAGATAATTTTAATTTGTTATTTAATTCAATGGCTATTAAAATGTTTTAATTTCCATTTAATAAAATAGATTATTAAAAATTTTGAATAATTGAAATTTTTAGAAAGGAATTTTTAGAAAGAACTATAAATTTTGTTTTTATGTATCGTTTATTGTTGTGTAAGCTATAAATTTGATTTTTTATAATGCATTTATGTGTTAAAAATAATAATTTATCCAAAATTTTGAATAAAGTTTTAAATGCTCTAAATGAAATGAAAAGTTAAGAATTTGAAAATTAAGATGATTATTTCTAGTCAAAGCATTGTAAACGATAGAACAATAATAGTTTAATTTATATTAAAAAATTCTTTTTTATTTTTACTTTTTAATTTTTTAATTTATTAAAATATGAATTCTTAATTTCCAGTGAGCGAATTTTATAATACAATATACTTACAATTATAAAACTTGAAGAAGATAACAGCACAAAATTATATAAAAAAGATAAATATGATTCTAATTCTAATAATGTATACTTTCATAATTTTATTGAAAATGTTTGAATTTTAAATTAGATGAAATACAAAATTAGTTTATTGTTGTTTACAAAAAAAAAATATATTAAAAATTTCTTGTTCTTTGAAGTCACAGCAATTTGTATGTACTATTATTAAAATTTAGAATAAACCAAGAAAACTAATTCAAGAACTAACTTCTGCTCAAGATGCTGCATATAATGCTCTAAAAATGACTCAATTCTCCTTCAGCGAATTTCTACTTAAGAATAATATCTGATATCACATTATCTCCACTATTATTGAATTTTATGAAAAAAAATACATCTGATTCATAGAATTAAAAGGAAATATATATCATAAAAATACTTTCACGAATATATTTATTTCTAGTATACTATTGATCAATATAGAGACACATCTAATTGTGTGATAAGGAAAATCAATATTAAAACAATGAAATATAATTTCTCATAATTTCTGATTTCATAATTAAAAATACTTATGTTTTATAGAATTTTTTTATTTATAATTTTGAATATTCAAGGGAAATCTCCTTTATATCAAAACGCTAAATATTTCCAAATGACAAGATTAGACAGCTTTAAAGAATATTTTTTGCTTTTATATTATTCAATTTTAGAGATTTTTTTTCAACAGTGAATAGTACATTAGACAAAGATGTATTACATGATCCAAAAATAATTTATCCAATAATACATAACATCCTTCTGCCTAATATAATAGTGACAATGAAAATAATGTAACATCACATATTCTTCTCTATTTAAAATTCGCTGAAGGAGAATTGGCTATTTATCCAGCGATGTTTCTGGTCGTCTTTACCTTTTCAGAATTGATAATAGAACGGCCTCTATCATTCTACTTCTAAAGAACTTCTTTGGATATCGAGTATCATCAGCAAAGTAACATGTATATTAGCTTTTGTTTGTAGCTGCTCATCGTGGATCATATGCCCCTATGCCTCTGGCTGTATTATTCTACGATTATGCGGCTTAATCTACACATTAAAAAAAAAATGTTATATATTTATTAAAAAAACGATTTGTTACAGAATTACAGTTAGTTAATATTGTATATAAGGTATAGATAATTATGCATTTTTCATCAAAGCACACAGAAAACCATCTATGTTTACTTAATTTGCAAAAATTATTTTATATACATTTACTAATATTCTTATAGTTATATTCTTATTATATTAATTCAAAAAATAATATATTAATTATTAATTATTATACTAATTCTTATTAATTCTGAATTATGTGATTTCCAATATTTTCATATATTGGATATTTTATATTAAAATATAAAAAATATTTGCTAATGAATTATAATACGTTGATATTCATTTTATGAAATGAAAATGCTCGAATTTTTATGGAAGAATCGTTACTCATATTTTTAAAAAAGAATACTTCTGTTTTTACTAACATTCATTTATAATTGTTCAGACAAATGAACATATATCCAGATATGGACAAATGCTTAGAATGATGCTGCAGGGACAATATAACTTGTGAGTGAAGATCTGTAAATTATTTTGCACATTTAAAAGCTTTCACTTATACCTGGATTGTCAATATGGTCTTAGTACCTGAGACGACCTTTATAACCAGTCCCATCAGCAATTAACATCAACCTACAAAAGGAAAAACATTGTAAACATATACAGAACAATTTCTTGGGTAAAGGGATTTATGAGTGGCCTAACCCCTCGGATTATAGAAAGTTTTCCTTGGACCGGATTACTGCTCAACCAGATAATTTGTCCATACCATTGTTGGATATCTGTGTTTCTCATTAGAGAGACTCATAGATTAATAACCAGAACATGGTGGGGACCTCAAGGCGTACCAAGCTTGGGGGAAAACCCTTATAAACGGGACGAGAACCTCAAGGAGAGCAGTAACACAGATTCGAGAACTATCACAACTTTGGGAGTTACTAAGGACTCAAGAACTCTCAAAACCTGAGGGCTCAAAAATTCTCAGAACCTTGGGATTCAAAAATTCTCAGAACCTTGGGATTCAAAAATTCTCAGAACCTTGGGATTCAAAAATTCTCAGAACCTTGGGACTCAAGAATTATTCGCACAACCTTCTGAAAGTTACACGGATTCAAGAACTCTCAGAATCTTAGGACTCAAGAGTTATTCCCACATCCTTTTCACCATGGAGAAGGAACTCAAGAACAATTTCAACGCAAGAACTACCAAGAACTCACGAACTCGAACTTGTATCTTCGTAGTCTGTGATACTGTGAATCATAACGTACAAGAGATTTTACCATATTTAAAGTGAATCGAACATACTTAATAACGAACTAATAATTATTTATTACTAAATTCCGTAGCTCCATGAACGTTAGTTCGGAGCTAACAACAATAATACAGAATAAGTTCGTTTCATATTTGTAATCCAACAACATGATTCTGATGACTTTCAAATCGAATAAAATTTCAAATCTCTTTGAAAATCAACTTATATTAAATATTCAACAAATTTCAATTACAATTATCACGAAATATTATTTGAAGAATAGAGCAATAATAAATTGCTGAATCATTACACACTTGTGCAAGAATTATTTCGAATTGAGAAACGAGTTCAATTTTGTGAATGGTAAATGTAGTAACAAAAAATGATGGTTTTTCATCGAGGGTATGAACAAACAAGACAATTTATATAAGAAAAATATACAGTTAATTAATAATCATATATATAAATAATCAATATATAAGCTCATAATAAATACATATGATAACCGATAATATAAATATCGATTTGCAATATTTACTTTTAAACATGATTAATGATCTACTCATTGATTCTTTTTATTAAATTAATTAGATAGAATTTTTTAAATATTTTTATTAAATGAATTTTTCATTTTTGGATTAGTGTTTTATTTGAACAACTGGATATAATTGGACAGTATATTATATCATGTATATTATATTGATACAAATGAAAAACTGGTTAAACGAGAAATATTGATAGATGAATAAGTCACAATGGAAAACATTCTTCGCCTCCAAGATCATCAAATTTTATAGCTCTTGAATATTAATTATGAAGAGTTCTGAAACAAAAAATTGATGTTATAAAAGTGAAGAACCAGTACAAGAATTAAAAATGCAATTATTGAAATTCAGCAAAATTCTCATAAATATTATTGTTAATATATATTATATGTAATAT